GGAGGACTACAACAAACTTCTATCCATGGCCAGTCTCCCATCCATATCAATCCATCATTGTCATTGTATGTCATTGTGCTTCTCCAAAGCAACAACCACGGCACCACCATTTTTCAATGTGCCGTTCTTGGCAGTACTCATGTAGTAAGCCACATGGCCACATGCTGCAACCACGACCACATCCAAGGACTTGGCAAATCTCTGTTTGCCCTATCACCTGGGTGAGTTTGGCAAAGTGGTCCGGGGCGCAGCCATCACGTCCCATCCCTCCCATCATCCCATGATTCACGACCCAAAGCTGGAGCTTCATGGCCGAGATGTCAAAATGTCATGGCCCAATGGCCCAAACGGGGAAATTCACTGTGTCGAAACGGTCGGGAGATGTTCACTTCGGTCCCAAACGCACAGTGCAAGTGCTGAAGGGATCAACGACTGGACAATATTAGACCTTGCTACAGTTCAGCAACAATTTAAGTGTGCTTAGCTTTAAGCGTGATAAAGGGATATAAAGGGGAACTAGACCAACAAACATGGAATATTCACCAACACAGCGGGTAAAAGTCAAAAGGGCTGCAAGAAAACTGCCGGTGTGGGTTCTTTTCAGCAGCAAAGCGCATCTGACCCTTTCCAACAGACTTGGGTTACGGGCAGCCGTAACTCTGGCAGACTGATTTGGAGCACTTATGTCCAGCCATGTTTTCATTGACTCAAAGGCGGCCACTGTGCGACCAACAAAAAAAAGGTTGCATCCAAGAAACCATCACCAAACCATACCATCCATACCAAACCTGGATGTCTCTTTTTCAAGGAAAATGGCCGCCACAATACGCCCCAGTTTGCTGTTGAACTCGTTTGCCAGAGATTTACCCCACGAACCGTTCCAGTTGAATGTTGCCTGTTCCCCCCAGCATGGGTTTTTGCTTGGTGACCTGGTTCCGAAACTTCACAGGACTAGTTATATATATAGATATAATTAAATATATAAGTTATACAAGTGGAGTTGGATCTGTTGCTTCCCCGGTTTTTGTAGCTGAGGTGGATTATCCACCTATGGGCGGTGATGGCGGTATCTCCGAAGAGGAGGCCATGGTGAAGATGTTGGACGTCCGTGTTCAGAACAGAAGTTGGTTGAAACTTGCACGTTATCATACATGGCTATGGATCAATACCTATTAATACCATTTTTAGTGGGATGAACATCCATTTACCAGCTATTTTGATGTGAACTACAGGGGTACAAGGTTTTGACACACTGCCACATGAGTGCATTTGAATGGCCTTCGCATTGATCGGAATATGTCCATCATAAATGAGTCCAAAAACATCCAATTACATCCAAATACTATATTATTTGGAATCCAATGATCTGGGTAAATTATAACGACCTCACTGCGACCTCACTGGAATCATGGTTAATAAGGGGAATCATCCCCAAATGGCCTTAATTCAGGTTGGTGAATTATTATAATTTACCCAGAATGATGGTGCAGTTTTCCCACTGGTGACACATCGCAGCTCGGCTCTCAGCGTCAACAGAAAGAACCCCCTGGGACCGAGTGAGTTGGGATATGGATCTGCAGCAGCTCAGTGAGTTGGTCGAAGACAAGTATCCGCGCTAAAAGCAGCAGATTTGGGTTTCACTTTTGTTTGGATATTTGGATGATATCTGGATGATAGTTGAATATGTGTCTTTCAGATTATTGTACACTAATTCTTGGGGTATTTTTGGGCGACTGGTACTCCTTTTTGCTGATACTATGGAACCAAACAATTGGCGTTATGAGCCATTCCCAGGCCACGAGGGTGAGATGAGCTACAGCTACAGCCGTTATGCGAAGAAAGGTGACTGGTCACTGAGCGATTCTTGGTTGACTTCTCTAGGACTGCTTTCTCGGTCTGTCTTCTCTTTTTGGCAGTGCGAGCGCGTTGCTCCAAAAATTTTCCGTGAGTATCAAGTCAAAACAATTGGGCTCCCAACTTGGCGGGTCAGTGTTCAATTGTGGATATTGTGGAGGCATAGCCATATCACGAAAGGTAGCGTCAGCTACCTGAGTTCTCCGTGCTTCAGCACAAGCTTAGGGGGTATTGGGGGGCCAGCCCGTGCAATTCATGGAATTCTCGCCGTTATGTATTGGATATCAATTATAAGGGGGGGGGGCCCCCCCCCCCCCGAAAATGGTCATGGGTTCAATTCCCACGGGTGACGCGGTCACGGGCCCCCACATTAGAGGCACACGGCACACTTTCCATGAGGGAGATGTCCCTGTAGTCCAGCATAATTGGTATATTTGGTATGCTTCAGCCTCAATAACAGTTGCTGCAAGGGGTCTTAAAAAGGGGTTTTAAATAAACCCCTTTTCGTGCATCATTTCACGCAGCACAAGACACAGTGTCATGCAGTCATGCTCTGGATAAAATCATCTTAGACTACGCAAAAACGTTTTTGGTGTATCATCTTAGGGGCGCAGCATTTTGACACCACTCCTCTCCCACTACACTACCTTTCGTCCGCCTCCACCTGCTCTCAAGTTTAAGGCTGGATTGCCACATCTTGTGGAGCATGAGGACTATGGAAGCTTTGGCTTTGCCCATATCTACACCGTCAAAAAGTTTGCCTTGCGCGCCACAGCCGCTTTCGAACTCTTTGAATTTGCAAAGAAGAAATTCAAGCTGCCCAGGGAGGCTTGACGTGGATGTGAGTTTGGCTCAAAGGTGGAGTACCATTTTGGCACGCACAAATCTGGTCATTATTTGCGCGTACAACCATCTGCCAGTTGTTGACCATGCGAGTAGGTATGTAAGGAGACACAGTTTTTCTGATTTTCTTTTACCATCTGGTTATTTAACATAGCCATGGAAAATGGCCCATTTATAGATGGTTTACCTATTAAAAATGGTGATTTTCCATGGCTATGTTAGTCATAACCAGATGGTACCTAAACTGGTGCAGTTTTTCGCGCCAAGGATTTTGCTGCAGAGATCTTCGACTTTGGCGCTGCCACCAGTGGGAGCCATGCATCTCAGCGTTCCAATGCATGGGTCTTGAAGCCCAATTTGAAACTGGTTGGGGGTTTAAAGCATTTTGTTTTTGTTTGAGTCCTACTTTTGGAAGAGCATCTATATAATCTATATTTTTTTTTCACCGGCCAGTTTACTAGAGATTACCAGCCAGGAATTGTGCAAAGATTTGCAGAGCATGGTGAACACCTTCAAAGTGCGAGAGAGAGTGACGCTCCTTTGATACTGGTCCTGAGCCATGTTTTGAAGAGTTTTTCAGAGAATCTCCAAGATTGGTGGAAAGCATTGCGTGAAGCATGCAAGAAGAATACGGTTTTGGTGCTGGTTCTCGAAAGCACAGAGGTGAGTAAATTCATACCTCATCTTCTTCTCGGTGACCAGAAACCAACAATCGGAAAGTTTCCGCCTGACTCTAGCAGTGGCAGCTTTGGAGGTGCTTTCGTTTGGAATGCCAAGATTCCAATGCCGCTGATGCATTCTCCTACTGCAAAAATTCACCCGTCACGTGACTTAGATAGTATGCAGAGCATGCCTGCAGTGCCCACTCCAGCGCATGCTGCAGTGCCTACGTCACAAAGTGTGTTGGGTGGCTTGTGTGCTGGGCATGTGCACAAAAGTTCAGAGTCACAGCATCCAGTCGCAGCGACGGGGCCATATTGCCCAGACTGCCAATCCCCAATGGTAATCAGAACCAATAGGAAAGGCTTCAATCCAGGTTCCAAATTCTGGGGGTGCACACAATATCCTCGTTGCAAAGGCCCCACCCGCCCTGCTTAGATGAATAATGACTAAGCCAGCAAAAGCGACACGCTGATCCTTGTGCAGATGTTTGCAGCTCACAAGGATTTGGAAAAAATGCTGCTGACATTTGCTGACTATCCCTTGCATTTCATGACAGCCTGACAGCCGATCGTGCATATATGGTGTTTTTTCTAAAACTCGGAACTGCTCCATCCCATTCCACATCATTTCCCCAACTTAGAACTTTGCTACGACTTTGCCATGACTTCGGGGCTGTTCATCTGCAGGTGCTACGATCATACTGCCAAGCAGCTGGTGTGTGAAGCCCAGAGCATATCCCAGACATGGATGACACGGGTCACGGCTGGGTGAAGATGGTGAAGTGTCTTGGCCTGTAAAACCCACTTAAACAGCAACGGTAGCAACGGTAAAGACTCACCATACTCACCTTTGAGAAGATCAACCCTGGGTGGTGTAAACAATCTCATGTCTTGAGACGGGGTTTGCCGTTTGATCCTGGATTTGCTGTTTGTGGCAATATTCCAGGATCATCAGGGTATGTCAAGGCGGATTCAAACTCCATTTTTTGCCGCTAGCATCAGATAGACCCCAGAAGTGGATTCACTACGAAGTAGATACAGCCAGCCATGGGCCATGGTTCCAAGATGGCAGTCTTCCTAAAATCAGGTGAAACCAATGGTTTTTGCATTGGACAGAGCTGTTTTTGGGCCGTGTGTTTTCATTAGTTTCATGGACGTGCACCATTCTGACATACCATGCCTCAAGGTGGAATATCCCATTGACCATTGGAGTTTCTACACGGCCTTTGCGTGCTTTCGCTTGGCTGACGCTTGGTGAAACTGGTGGCGTACAGTGGGACAAGTTTTATTACACTCGTCACACTGACATCGCGGCATCTTTTCCGTTCATCTGAATGACATAGTGATCAGCAGCACATTGGTATCAGGGTTTTGACCTGTTTTGACCCATCGATCTCACGGGAACAAGGAATGGATGGAATCCAGACAGGTTGTGACATCATGGCATGGCGAACAGCAAAGTTACGAACATGTTGAAAGTGGCACATTCTCTCAAGTGTCTCTGTTAAACTTTTGAATAAACCTCAAGGTCGTACATATGTGGCTAGTTTCAAGTTGCCATATTCATATCCTGGTGTTGAGTACGTGCGTTGCTCTGCCATGTTTTGGGAGGTTTTGAACTAGCTGAGAAAAACTAGCCCCATCGAATGGTGCAACAAGGTGAGGTGTCCAGTTGGCTTTGTATTGCTGTTTGTCTCCGTGTCTGTAATGAATGCCCCAAGCTTAACCAATAAATATGGAACGATGATTCCAATGAGCACTTTCCATATTTGAATCATCCGCTAGTGATTCATGCGCATCCCTGCAGAGGTCATTATTCAAGGCGTTGCCATGAGGCCAGGGTGTCTCGGGGTTGTTTTCTTGGTGTCCCCATCTCAGTGTTGTGGGTGTTGCCCCTTGATGGGGATGAGATACAGCAATATGATGCAACTTGAAGTTGGGATGTAGACCTATACAGACTTGGATCTAATCATCCATTTTTTGGTCGATACTTAGCCCAAATATCACTGATCTGACTACCAAAAGATTGTTTTTTTTATGTACCCTCTGGTTATTTAACATAGCCATGGAAAATGGCCCATTTATAGATGGTTTACCTATTGAAGATGGTGATATTCCATGGCTATGTTAAATAACCAAATGGTACCTCAACTCTTGCCCCAACAGTCGTGTCCCATGGATATTTCCAGAGCGTGACCAAGCAACAAAGTGATCCTTCTTTTTGGTGACCTTAAACCTGGGGATGGAGAGATTTTGACTGGCTGGGCCATGGTTTGTTGATGTACCCTCTGGTAATTTAACATAGCTATGGAAAATCATCATTTATAGTGAAATTTCCAATGAAAAATGGTGACTTTCCATAGTTATGTTAGTTTACCAGAGGGTAGTTTCTATGTTGATCTTTATGAAAGCCTCGAACCCGCAGATAAAAATATGCTTTCTATTAACCACCCAATTCCTGAGGTACCGGTACTACTTCATCACAATTAGTCTTAAAGTACATAAGTTACATAATAATCATTAGGGAACATCAAAATCAGGTGATTTATTGGTGATATTTAATAATGATAATATGATACTATTATACATAATAGATACATAATAGCATAATAGTTATTCAACAACAACTGCTTATTGTTATGTAAGCATATCAAATACATCCCGTACTTAGTCCAATAATTTCATATCAAACCCGCTGGGAAGGACCTCCAGAGGTTCAGCTAGTGATGGCACCGGCAACGTCCAGACCCTGGTGGATGTTGGTGATGCAAATTGAAGAGATCATTCACATAAATTCGCTCTGAGAATTGCTTGGTTTTCTCATTCGTTATCTTTATATGTGCTGATGAACGTCTGATGTTTTCTGGTTGAACTGCAATGTTCATTGATGAAGTCCCCTTCTGTTTCTAGTGTTTTCCGGTCTTGCTTGTCACCCGAGTCATAAATGATAGAACCAAATGATAGACACCATGGAATCTTGTGACTAGTTTTTCGTACTTGTGTCTTTGCCTACTTCATGAATATATAATATAAACATGAAAATATGCGCGTATTCCCTGTCTGCATGTGGAGAGTGCCACAGATAGTTGTTGCATCTGTCCTTGAAAGATGACCCTGATTGCTTCATACTTTTTGGCCGCTCCACTACATGCACCATGTTTGAGGCTGTTCGATCAGGATTGGAATAAAAGGTTCAGCAGATGTATGTAATGCATGTATGTGGTACATACCATGCTTACGAATTGGACTTGTAGATGATAGCAAACGGCAATGTACGTATATAGAACCAAAATTTGTGATGATTTGTCAGGTTTTGCCTTGTTGCATCATGGAAATACAGCCAACATCGGCCAACCTTCCAGAGGTGAAACGAAAGCTGGTCCGGATTCGCCCTTACTGGTGTTTGGTGGTCAAGAATCCGCAAATTTCGACCCAAAAATTCTTTGGAGTGTCACAAACTAGGGTAGAGTATCCCACGACATCCCGAATGATATCTCAAACTAGATGCTTACATATGCTTACCCAATCTAGCTATTAGTGTAGCTACAGCTATTGGTTGAATCATGTTTTTCATCCAGCCCCAGGTGAAGATGCAGTCGGAAGCTGCTGACTCGATGTGTTCGCTGGCCTTAAGCATCATGCGGAAGGCCTCGAATGGCTTATTCGTTGCAACAAGATATGGAAAATGGGGTGGTAACCAAAAAAGATTGGGATGTTATCACCAAAATATGGATAAACATTGGCTAAGGGAAGCTTTATTAACTTAATACACCCATAATACCATAAATGTCACAAATTGGATGATTTACTGACCAGCCATGTTTTCTGCAGGGTATTTTAGGTTGACCATGATTCGAAGAGATGCTGTGACATCTTACAATGTCCTCACAAATCCAGAACAGGTGTAGAAAACATTTTATGCAAGGAAGCTATTCGCGATTCTTGGCCTGAAACTCTTCCATCTTTGCGATCACGTCCTAAAGACCATAGCAGCCATAGCAGCCATCTACTGTGGGTCCTGGATTTTCCCGTAGATCATTTCGCGACCTGGATGCTGCCTCCAGTTTTAACATGTTTTACCCCCGTCCAATGAACAGCCCACCCGGCACTGCTTCGCAAGGCCTTTGGCTCCCGTCTCTGAGCTTGGCCTGCTGCTTGGTCCTCCTACTTCCTACATATTCATCATAGATTAGATGATAACTTGGTGCATATACAATAAATGGTATAGATAATGTATATGCACTATTTATTTTGGGAATCATACCTTTATCCTACATGTTCAACCCCAAAACTGGAAGGACGGGTGACCCCAGAAGCTCTGAGATGCTGGACGAGAATCCCGACTAAGTGAGCTAAACAGCCCATTTTTAACCCTAAGCGTATTCATCTAGCATCATGTCCTGGATGTTTCCTGGATCTTCTTATGAATAGTGAATCTAGTACTGAATGTACTGTGTTGAACCATGGTTTTTCTATGTGATTGCCAAGGTTTTGGACATCCGATGGCCGCTGGAAAAAAGTTGGTTGGTCTGGTGACCAGTGATTGGTGCGATTGGATTCCAAAAAATGGAACCTGGGCGAAAATCAGCACGGAATTGTGCAGAACTTTGGAGAGTATGGTTTTTGATGGTTTTTGGCCATTCCATCTGGTGATGGCCAATATGGAGTTGCAGGACAAATGCCATGCAAAAATTTGAAATATGTGGGAGGATCATGTCACAAAAACATTCCCACGGTCCACGGTTCCTTATATTTTGCCTATAATCATTATGCCTACATGGTGTAGGCAACATTTGGGACCGTTGCCATTGGTATATCCACAGTCTTCTTTATTCTGTTGGCCACTGTGGGCTTTGTATCCGTATGGCAACGGTGACACACGCGAAGACTTTTTGAATCACTCAAATCATTTGATAACGGGGGTGTCCACAATTACACGATGTATATGTACAGTTATATATATATATACATATGCATAGAGTTTATGTCACGCAGAGTTTTTTTTCACGAACATATCCCTCTTGTTTGGTTCAAGCCCCGGATTGATGTTGATTTCATTGCCTTCGCCCACACCCCAACCCATGGTCCAGGCCATTTATCCCGCGAGGAGCGGGAGCATGGCAGCATATGGCAGCATGGATAGGTGATGTTTGCCAATCCAGATGTGTTGAGACCGGTCTCCCCATGGTCCAATGGTAGAGGGTTCCGATGGTTCCATCCCGTTCCCGGGAACGGCCAGGAGTCGCGCAACAGCTGGTGTGAGTCGCTTCGGCCCGAGACGTCAACGTCTCAGATGGCAACTGATGGCAGCCGTTGATGCGCACCTTTTCCAATGGCTGTTACCCTCTGGTAATTTAACGTAGCTATGGAAAATCACCATTTTTCATGGGTAAATCCACTATTTCTATGGCCATTTTCAATAGCTATGTTAGTTTACCAGAGGGTAAAAGGTTTGCCATTTTAAGAAATGGCACATTTCTGTTGGGACGATTTCTCCAAATCTCATCTGACCCAATTTGGATTGACTCAACTTTTGGGCGTACCAGAGATGCAATGTTTCGACGAAAACAAACCTGCCTGTCCACGAAAACATACGAAAACATATGGCCAAAAGTCCCATTGATGTTGATTTCAAGATTTCAAGTTCTAAGATTTCTAAGATTCTTCAGTTCTTCCCAAAATTACTCACCTAATCTCACTTTTCGACTCGACTCTACGTGACTAATAGGATCCTTGATCCAGAGCCCCCCCCACTGGCGCTGGAAAAAATGGCCCCCAAAAAAGTGGAATCCGTTGGATTCATGACTACGATTCCATACCTATAATATCTATCATACATATATATATATTATATCATATTACATACTCGTACAGATGGATAAGCCAAGAGTTGCTTTGTTTGCACTTTGACGGCAGGGAAGCTTCCAAGTGGTGCAGAGAGAGCAAAGAACTCACGGTCTGCTGCCTCAGATACGGTGAGCAAACTGTCGAGATGCGTGCTGTCCAACTTCATGTATTCTGATATTCTATCTCACATATATTCTGACATTCTAGCTCGCTGATGGTATCTGACGATTTTAAAGCCCCAAAACCGATAAATGTCCAAATTCCATGCTTTGGAAAATCAAAGTTCATCATTATTCCATATCATTCCTTTTCATGTTGGATCATTTTGGGGCGGGGTATCTCCTGTGAGAAATGGAGCTTTCAGCCGCATGTTTGAAAAACATGTTCCGGGGCTCTGCAGGTGCCCCTGGGACCAGAACTCAACACCTCAAGGCCACGGCGGAAACCAACTGGGTCGTGGCCAGGCCATGTTGGCCATGTTGGCCATGGAGGTTCCAATACTCAGCTGACTGTCAGCTGACTCAGCTTTTATGGATCCATTGGTCCATTGGTACCCCCATTGGTCCATTTTTGACCCCCGGAAATTGGAGGAGGAAAAACCAGCTGAAAGTTCCAGAGAGTAAACTGTCATGTAAGCTGCCTTGTTTTGAGACATCAGTTTATAAAATGTTATAAATGTTATGCCAAGTACTGGCTGACGTGCAAACTGTATTGTCACGAAAACAAAAACATTGTGACTTTGATCCCGGAAATGAGCGCTCAAAAATCCAGTTGCTTTACCACCAAAAAATGGCACCGTCATGAAAGAATTCGCGTACCCAAAGTCCATCGAAGTTGGTCAATGGCCGCCCGCATTCCCGAATGAATTGAATTGGCGGTGTTTCCTATGCTCAAGTTAATGATCGTCCCTTTTTGCTGGTTGCATTTGCATTCCGATTGTTGCGGGTAGTGATGACAATGTTTGTTTCTGTGGCTTCCTCTTGGTCGGTCATAATTTCTATCCAGGAAAAATATTAAGAAACCAGGTGTTTAATCTGGTGTTTATTGATTTTTGGGTTGATAGAAAGCATCAAAAAAAAACATCATTGGAGCATCTCAGAATCGAGGCGAAGCTGTTCTCGGGACCGGGAATCTTCGCGTCAGCCAGGGAGACCCATTTTTGGGTGAAGCGAAACCCGTTTTCCGGGAAAGAAAGCCAAACAATGCCAAACATACAGAAAATTTTCTGCGAAATTCAGTTCCGACGATCGGATTAGTTACCCGATGTTCCCCAAAGTCATCAAACTTGGGTGTGGCTCCAATTCGTGCACAAAAAACTCTTGGACTTTTGTTGCCCAAGGCACACTAAGTTGGTAGAAAACTTGAAGATCTTGAATGATGTTGACCAACTTTTGGGCTATGTTTTCCATTTTTTTCCGTGTTCCAAGCGTTGTCACCATGAGGCGCTCTATCTCCTGCCAGCGCATGCCGCAACGTGTGACTCGGATTGCTGGGATTGCTGATCCATCCCCCCTGGGGATTGCCCGACCAGCAGATGACTAGAGAATAAAAGGCTTTTCTGAGAGTCTGATGGTTGCAATTTGATGATCTTGGATAATTAATCATTAAATTGATTATGTTTATTCAGCATCTAGCAATAATCTAAATCGTGTTGTTGATTTGGATAGCTGAATATTTAGATGGCTTCTTCAGCCACTGCGCATCCAATATAACTATTGATCTACACAACACTCAAATGACCAAAAGTGAATGGGCAATGTGTTTCATATTGTTTCATATGTGTTTCGAATACCTATCTTGATCATTCTTGATCTATCATCCTATACCTATCATCCGACTTTTCTTGGGCATTGTGATGTCCGAAACGCTGTTTCGAAACGCGACATGTCAGCTGAGGAGCAGGAAGCCATTGCCCGACACCTGAATCGCTCAACGAAGGAGCCGGATCCATGAAATCGGTCATGATGGATTAGGACGGTTAGGATTACGGAACCGTGCCAGATTGAAAAAAAAGAAAAACACATCTATTGGTGAATTGGGTGAGTTTGGTGATGTGTTTTTCAACTTCAGCCAGATATGAATCATATTGAATCACGGTAACAAGCCCGGTGCAGGCGCTGAAGGCTCCAGTGGACGTGAAGGTGCACCTCCCCAGGGATTTTTGCGCCGGGAAATACCACACCACTTTAAAGGTGCTTAGATAAGGCAACTGTTCATGGAGGGAACATCATGTTAATTCACATCACACTAAAAAAACATTAATGTCATCACACCATTATAATCTACATATATGATTATATATATATATGATTTTATAGACTAATCTCTTGATGCTGTTTCGATGTTCTTTGTTGATTGGCGAAATGTAAGGAAGCAGGGAAGCCTGCGACTCGCAGATGTTTTTTTTTAGGTTGTTGATGATGGTTGTTATGGATACTTTGAGGAATGATCGATGATCATCAAGAGCTGCTGAGGAACATAATCATGAGAACATCAAGTGAAGAACAAATATTATATACATATACATATCTATTAAAATTACATTTCTTAATGATTGTGCTGGTGATGATGCTGGCAGGGTACCTCAGGGACCCCACCATACAGGTGCAGTTGACTGAGGAGGATCAACGTTGGATTCAGGTGCAGCGGCGCTCTGTCGTGGATAAATTTACACGAATTTAGACGTCCATCGAACCCAATGGTCAAGAGATCATGGGAAATGGCCCATTTATAGATGGTTTACCTATTAATGGTGGTTTTCCATTGCTATGTTAAATAACCAGATGGTAATGAGGTTTATAAACCATTTTATAACTGGCGGGTTGGCAACCAAGCAACCTTTTCATTGTGTTCCTATGTTTTCCTCCTGGGGGAGTTTGAATCCCATGTTTCTCTTGTGCGTTTCGTAGGCTACTGTACGATCACAGGTACACAATAACTTGTCTTGCGCCCTTAACCAGCTGACTTCAAAGACAATATCAAATCATATACAATGCTGAAAGCATACAACGTGGAACCCTCACGCCGCTGTCTACCCACATCTAGGACGCTGGCAACGCCAAAGCCCGAGCTGCTCGCGCCAGGACAGAGCCTTTAGAATTGACTGATTTGTTCACATATGCTGTTGTTACATGCATCCTCCTTGATGTGTTCTTGATTGGGCTTGGCTCTCGCTCTCTCTCTCTCTCTCTCTCGCTGTCTTTCTTTCTTTCTTTCTTTCTGTCTTTCTTTCGTTTCAACTTTCATGCAAAAATGTGGATGACTTGGATGTCTTGGAGCACAGAAGTTCCAATG